AGTGGTGGGGGGTGGGAGGTATGGGGCGGCAGGGTGATGGACACTGGGGAGGGTATATGCTATGGTGAGCACTGTGAATTGTGTAAGACTGTTGAATCACAGACCTGTACCTCTGAAACAAATAATACATTATATGTTAAAAAGAAAAGAAGACGATAGTAGGAAGGGAAAAATTGAAGGTGGGGAAATCGGAGGAGGAGATGAACCGTGAGAGACTATGGACTCAGAGAAACAAATTGAGGGTTTTAGAAGGGAGGGGGTGAAGGGATGGGTTAGCCTGGTGATGGGTATTAAAGAGGGCATGTATTGAATGGAGTATTGGCTGTTATACGCAAACAATGAATCATGGAACACTACATCAAAAACTAATGATGTAATGTATGGTGATTAACATAACATAATAAAATAAAAAAAGGAACTTGAAGACAAATGAATGTTTTTTTCTGTTTAGAATACAGGACTAATATCCCTGATGAACATGGATGCAAAAATTCTCACCAAAATACCTAATACCAAAATACCAAAAATTCTATTCCAAAAAATAGAAATGGAAGGAAAACTTCCAAACTCATTTTATGAGGCCACCATTACCTTGATCCCCAAACCAGACAAAGACCCCATCAAAAAGGAGAATTACAGACCAATATCCTTGATGAACACGGATGCAAAAATTCTCACCAAAATACTAGCCAATAGGATCCAATAGTACATTAAAAGGATTATTCACCACAACCAAGTGGGATTTATCCCTGGGCTGCAAGGCTGGTTCAACAACCACAAATCAATCAATGTGATACAATACATTAATAAAAGAAAGAACAAGAACCATATGATCCTCTCAATAGATGCAGAAAAAGCATTTGACAAAGTACAGCATCCTTTCTTGATCAAAACTCTTCAGAGTATAGGGATAGAGGGTACATACCTCAATATCATAAAAGCCATCTATGAAAAACCCATAGCGACTATCATTCTCAATGGGGAAAAACTGAGAGCTTTTCCCCTAAGGTCAGGAACGCGGCAGGGATGTCCACTATCACCACTGCTATTCAACACAGTATTAGAAGTCTTAGCCACAGCAATCAGACAACAAAAAGAAATCAAAGGCATCCAAATTGGCAAAGAAGAAGTCAAACTCTCACTCTTTTCAGATGATATGATACTTTATGTGGAAAACCCAAAAGACTCCACCCCAAAACTGCTAGAACTCATAATGGAATTCAGTAAAGTGGTAGGATATAAAATCAATGCACAAAAATCAGTGGCATTCCTATACACCAACAATGAGACAGAAAAAGAGAAATTAAGGAGTTGATCCCATTTACAACTGTACCCAAAACCATAAGATATCTAGGAATAAATCTAACCAAAGAGGCAAAGAATCTGTACTCAGAAAACCATAAAATACTCATGAAAGAAATTGAGGAAGACACAAAGAAATGGAAAAACCTTCCATGCTCATGGATTGGAAGAACAAATTTTGTGAAGATGTCAGTGCTACCTAGAGCAATCTACACATTCAATGCAATCCCTATCCAAATACCATCCACTTTTTTCAAAGAAATGGAACAAATAATCCTAAAATTTGTATGGAACCAGAAAAGACCCAGAATAGCCAGAGGAATACTGAAAAAGAAAAGCAAAGCTGGTGGCATCACTATTCTGGACTTTAAGCTCTATTACAAAGCTGTCATCATCAAGACCGTATGGTACTGGCACAAAAACAGACACATAGATCAATGGAACAGAATCAAGAGCCCAGAAATGGACCCTCAACTCTATGGTCAACTCATCTTCGACAAAGCAGGAAAGAATGTCCAATGGAAAAAAGTCTCCTCAACAAATGGTTGGGAAAATTGGATAGCCAGATGCAGAAGAATGAAACTGGATCATTTCCTTACACCACACACAAAAATAGACTGAAAATGGTTGGAAGACCTAAATGTGAGACAGGAGTCCATCAAAATCCTAAAGGAGAACACAGGCAGCAACCTCTTCGACCCCAGCCACAGCAACTTCTTCCTAGAAACATCGCCAAAGGCAAGGGAAGCAAGGGCAAAAATGAACTATTGGGACCTCATCAAGATAAAAAGCTTTTGCACAGCAAAAGAAACAGTCCACAAAACCAAAAGACAACTGACAGAATGGGAGAAGATATTTGCAAATGACATTTCAGATAAAGGGCTAGTATCCAAAATCTATAAAGAACTTCTTAAACTCAACACCCAAAGAACAAATAATCCAATCAAGAAATGGGCAGAGGACATGAACAGACATTTTTCCAAAGAAGGCATCCAATGGCTAACAGACACATGAAAAAGTGCTCAACATCGCTCGGCATCAGGGAAATCCAAATCGAAACCTCAATGAGATACCACCTCACACCAGTCAGAATGGCTAAAATTAACAAGTCAGGAAACGACAGATGTTGGCGGGGATGCGGAGACAGGGGAACCCTCCTACACTGTTGGTGGGAATGCAAGCTGGTGCAGCCACTCTGGAAAACAGTATGGAGGTTCCTCAAAAAATTGAAAATAGAGCTACCGTATGACCGAGCAATTGCACTACTGAGTATTTACCCCAAAGATACAAATGTAGGGATCTGAAGGGGTACGTGCACCCCGATGTTTATAGCAGCAATGTCCACAATAGCCAAACTATGGAAAGAGCCAAGATGTCCATCGACAGATGAATGGATAAAGAAGATGTGGTATACACACACACACATACACACACACACATACACACACACACACACACGGAATATTATGCAGCCATCAAAAGGAATGAAATCTTGCCTTTTGCAACAATGTGGATAGAACTGGAGGGTATTATGCTGAGTGAAATAAGTCAATCAGAGAAAGACATGTATCATATGACCTCACTGATATGAGGAATTCTTAATCTCAGGAAACAAACTAAGGGTTGCTGCTGTGGTGGGGGGTGGGAGGGATGGGGTGGCTGGGTGACAGACACTGGGAAGGGTATGTGCTATGGTGAGCACTGTGAATTGTGTAAGACTGTTGAATCACAGACCTGTACCTCTGAAACAATTAATACATTATATGTCTAAAAAAAAAAAGAAGAAGATAGCAGGAAGGGAAGAATGAAGGGGGGGGAATCGGAGGGGGAGATGAACCATGAAAGGATACAGACTCTGAGAAACAAACTGAGGGTTCTAGAGGGGAGAGGGGTGGGGGAATGGGTTAGCCTAGTGATGGGTATTAAAAAGGGCACGTACTGCATGGAGCACTGGGTGTTATACGCAAACAATGAATCATGGAACACTACATCAAAAACTAATGATGTAATGTATGGTGATTAACATAACATAATAATAATAATAAAAAAAGAATACAAGTGTTACAAATTTGCTGAACTTTTCCGATGAGCATTGGATGCTACCAAAAGATACTTAGAGTAAATAAACATAACTTATATATCCCTTTAAAGGCAAGAGTAGTTATACTATAAATGCTTTCATTTGGATGTTCCAAATGATGGAACATCTCTGATTTACAGATATTTGGAAACATTTTCATTATTATTAATTTCTTTGTTTATACATTCAGTGAGCACCTACTATCATTATATGCTATTGTGGGCAGTGGAGATATTATAGTGAACAAATATCAGACAAAGCTCTTAACCTTCTGGAGCTTATATTCTAGTGGGGGAAGACAATAAACAAACATATAAAAGACTGAAGATGATAAGTGCTATGAACCAAATATAGTGGGGAAAGTGGACAGAGAATGATTGGGTAGGAGAAGCATTATTTTTGTCTTAATTGCTCAGGCTGTGTTAACAAATGTATGGTGGCTTAAACAACAGAAATTTACTTCTCACAGTTCTGGAGGCTTTAAGTCCTCGATCAAGATGCTAGCATGGTCACATTCTGGTAAGGACTCTTTCCGGGCTTGCAGACAGCCCACTGTCTCCTGTGTCCTCACATGATAGACAGAGTTCTGGTGTCCATTCTTCTTCTGGTAAGTGCACTAATCCCATCATAAGGGTCTTGCCTCTGACCTCACAAACCTAATTATTTCCCAAAGGCCCCATTTCCAAATACCATCACATTAGAGGGCTTTGGGGCAGGTCTCTGTGGTGATGTGCTGTTTGAGCAGAGTTCTGAGGGAAATAAGAGGGTGGGAGAAGAGTACGTGACAAAGTCTGCAAGTGGCAATGTGTCTGTCCAGTTGAGAGCCACTGAAAGTGGACATCTGGAGAAAGATGGACAACTGACCAATGTACCCTGCAACAGTGGAGGTTATTGTGACCTTAACAAGAGAATTTCTATAGGATGGTGGGGATGAAAATGGGATTCATGAGGGTTCTAAAGAGAATGGAAGGAGAACAAATGCAAACTCTTTTGAGAAGTCCTACTCTAAAGGAGAGCAGAGAGAGTGACTGCAAGTGTTTTTGTGTGAAGGCAGGGAGATTACAGCACTTTTCTGTGCAGGTAAGAATTAATAAAGTGCACCAGTGTTGTGGTAGGAACTTTGGAAGTACTCCTCTCATTGATTCTCTTTTCTCAGTGAAACAGGAAGCAAGATATCAGCTGAGCAAGGACAAGTCAAGCCCTAGAGGTCCAATGAGAGAGAAGTTTAAACAGTTATTAAGGGCAGTGGGAGAATAGGATGTTCTAAAATTGCTGGGCAGCACTAAGGCCAATTTGAGGCTCTTAGTTATAAACTGGAAGGGAGACTAGTGAGATTGATTGGGTTTCCCTCTACTCATGTTCTGCTGCTGGGACTTAGGCATAACGTAGGTATAAAATAAGCAAAGAATTGGATTTAACCAGGATTGGGGTTTTGCTAAGGGCATGTGTAAGTGTGAGCTCCAAGTATGAATAAATTCCTAGAGCTAAAATAATCTATTAATATATCTAACTAAATCTCAAATTTTTGCTGACCAGGGTTCTGTGATCAAAAAGAGTTTGCAAACTAATGATAAAAAGGAAGTGAATAGGTTCTCTGGATCTTCGCAAGCCTGCCAGCATGTCTCAGGCTGAGTTTGACAAAGCTGCTGAGGATGTTAAGCACCTCAAGACCAAGCCAGCAGATGATGAGATGTTGTTCATCTACAGCCACTACAAACAAGCAACTGTGGGTGACATAAATACAGAACAGCCTGGGCTGTTGGATCTCAAAGGCAAGGCCAAGTGGGATGCCTGGAATCATCTGAAAGGGACTTCCAAGGAAGACGCCATGAAAGCTTGTCAACAAAGTAGAAGAACTGAAGAAAAAATATGGAATATAACAGACTGGATTTGGCTGCCAACACTGCATTTCATCTAAACTGATCTAATGCCTTGCTTTTCTAATACTGTGGATGACATGAAATAATGCAAATAGCCTGTTAACCTAGGTCCTGAAGACTGCACAGGACATGGCTCCAACAGAGTAGGGCCTGCCATGGTTACAGACCTGCGCTGAGTAGTTTTTATCCATAGATCTATTAAAAGCACATTTGTTACTTAAAAAAAAAAAAGGAAGTGAATATTATTAATAATGATGATATAACAGACACAGAAAAATCTCCCTACCCTGTCCATGGATCATTTATAAAAAGTCATCACATATTAAAATACCAAGTAAATTCTAGTAAATTCCTAAGACTAAAACAATATATCTAACTAAATGTTAAAATAATATATCTAAATACATCTGACTACTATGCAATAAAGCAACTAAAACACCTAAGAGGGTCACAAACAAAATACCCAGCCACTTGGAACATATATATTTTAAATATTCTCCTATGTGAATTAGGCCAAAAAGTGATTTGAAAGTTCAAAATCAAGTATTAATTATATAAATATACAATAATATATTATTAATAAATGTTAATATTAAAATATTTACAAATAATATTTAAGTAATAGAAGTAACAGATATTTTTAAACTCTATGGGCTATATCAAAAGCTACGCTAAGAAACATTACAAATGTAATATTTCCATTGTTAGACAAAAGTTTTGCTAATAAAAATAGCAATGAACATATCTGAGTTTTTAAAAAAGTCTTTGTTCAATTATTTCCTTAGGATAGTACCTAGAAATGCAATTTCTGGATCAAAGGACATAAAGGTTTGTTTTTTCTTTTCATGAGTTTGACAGTGCCACGCTTTTCTCCAAAAAGTTGTATCAATTTATGTTCCTATTAATATATGAGATAGTCAATTCTCCACAACCAAGTAAACACTGAATAATTCTTGGTACAACTTAAACAAAATACATTTTCGAGCTGAAATGAAATGTGATTTTTTTCCCCCGTAGCTTTGGTTTGGTTTTTTTTCTTGGGGTCGGGGGGCAGTAGAAGTAGGGGGAGGTGTGGAGATGAGATTCAATATTATTAAAATGTATTACAAATGATTTATAAATTTTCTCTTAGCTGTCTCTTGCCCCAGAGAATCTACAATTCTTTGAATAACTCCCCAATATAACCAGCTGGCCTACAGTCATCATATTTAAAAGTACCCAAGTCCCACACAAATGGATGGAATGATTTAAAAGAATATCAAGAAGAGAATTTTTTGCAAGAATTTATGAGTTTGAGATGACTGATATCCCAAAGAAATAATATCCAGGCAACCAACATCACTCTTTGGTTACAATAAATTAAATTAAATTAAATTAAATTAAATTAAATTAAAAAACCTTCACCAGGAGTTTCTATGATTCACAGGAAAAGTTTAAGCAATGTTTAATTATACAAATAATGTACTGTTTTCTACTTCAAAACCATATAGTGGGTTATCAATAAGAACTGCTTAAAACAGTGAGAAAAATTCCCCCAAATTTCACTTGAAGCATTTTTGTTTTAACAGAGAGTGATACCTGCCTTATTAAGCTATTTTATTTTATTCTATTCACCGTAATGAACTCATTGTATGGCCACAAGGAACAAGCCTTCCAAGACTCAAATATCCTCCCCACTAAGCCCAGATGGATAACAGGAACTCCACACAGAGCTACTCCCTAGGAAAAAAGATTGCAAGTTTTTCCTCATTTTTTCCCTTTTCCCTCATCTCTTTCTCTCTTTCCTCTTCCCTCCCTCCCCACCTCTCTCCCTCTCTCTCCCCCCCTTTCAGTCTCTCCTTCACTGGGATAATTTCCACAGATACAGCAAAGGAATGCAGCAGTATTTTTTGGAGATATTTGTGTATGTACTAAATTCTGGTAAATAGAGTCTAATTTTAAATTATTTAAAAGCGTGGCTAGAGCAAGGCAACTGATGAATTACCGAACTCTAATATGAAACTAACGATGTATTATATGTTGGCTAATTGAATTAAAATAAAAAAAAGAAGTTAGCTGAAATAAATAAATTCACTAGACCAGTAGTCTAAGTATTTGTATACAAATGTTGAAAAATATATAAAACTTAAAAAAAAGCTCTGCTAGAGATTCTATATAATAAGGTACTTTTTCCCAAAATACAAAGAATGACTTCAGCGATTTTAGATTTTTCTGTAGTGTGCTTTCCCAAAGGTGGTCACTTCTGTACTTACAGCTTTTCCATTATTTCAGAGCAGATCAATAGACCCATTATCAATGACTGTCTTCTATTTAAGGTGCAGAATAACTACAAAAACGAAATGTCTTTTCTTCAAGAACTTTTAAAAGATTTAATAAACACTTTAAAAGAAAAAGATAAAATGTTCAAACTGTTAATATTTATTACTTATTTTAAAAATTAAATATCATGCTAAAACAGTTTACTACCTGGCTATATTAATTGTGGGGGTATGGCTAAACATTATCTTTCCTGACTATAAGAGCCAGGGTAGTGGTGGTAATAATTAATGAATTATTAAATCAAAAATCCCATAGTTTATCAATATAGTACATGAGGCAGATAAATTCAGAAGTAACTTTTGCGAATCTGGTGATTTGTTGGTAAACTGTTCCTTGGCGTTAGAAGGACTGAGTGAAACACTTTCCAGCTGTATGAAGTACAATGAATGGAGAGGCAAAATTTTCATGCCACAAAATATTCAACAGTAACTTAAGGCAGCTGCACATTCAAACTAATTTCTAACTATACATCAGTCAATAACTAAAAGATTTTTCAAAAGAGGTATTTAATGGATCAGAGAAGTGAGTAATGTTATTATTTGAAGATGATAAATTATAAAACCTTATAATAGCAAATATATGAGAAAAGGCATGTAATATGTATTACCAAATGTGAATTGGCGAACTAGGTAGAATGGACCAATAGTCACAGATGGTATTGGTCCTTTTGAAACAAAATCTGCTGACTGAGGCTGTAACTGATGCTCGGTGTCAGCCTGTAGACACATTTGGGACACAGTAAAAGTCAACGCTGAAGCAGTAGGGTTGGAAGAAATTCTATAATTAAAACTGGAAAAGCCACTTTTATTATAATTTGAACAGGAAGTTATCTGAGCAATGAAAACTATTAGCAACTGAAAAGTACCTGAAAAAGATTTACTGGAGAACTCCTCATACGAAAAGTTCATATAGGTACATAACTAACTGCAATATCCTTTTTGCAATCCTATGTGAGTCAGAAGAAATGACTGGCTTTATGTACCTGGAAACTGCATTATTTAAATAAAACAAAAAAATATTCAGATCATCCAAAGGAGATATTAATAATATTCACATATATTGTCTACAAGAACACACCTATTTTAGTTACCTTACTTGGACAAATATTTACTGAAAGTTTGTAATGTACAAAGCACTGTACTAGGTACAAAGGATCTGAAAGTAAAATAAGTCCATGCTCTCAAGGACCTTATTTAATAAGTTAAACCATGGGGGCGCCTGCGTGGCTCAGTTAAGTGTCTGCCTTCGGCTCAGGTCATGATCCCAGGGTCCTGGGATCGAGCTCTGCAGGGGGCTCCCTCATCTGTGGGAAGCCTGCTTCACCTTTTCCCACTCCCCCTGCTTGTGTTCCCTTTCTTGCTGTCTCTCTGTCAAAAAATAAATAAAATCTTAAAAAAAAAATAAGTTAAACTAAGGAAACACAGTGAGTTATAATTAATCACATTCTAAAATACCCGAACCATTTAAGGCAACATTTAATTGCTGGATGGAGAAGGCTCAGTAAAGGGAAGAAAAGTAAACGCCTGTTTAGGGAACTACAAGTTCAAGGGGGTTCCTTAAGCAGCGTGTGTGTGTGTGTGTGTTTTATGTGTGTGCACATGCATGTTTTGGGAGGGACTATTGGAAAAGTGGAGGAATGGTGAGAGATGAAGATGAAAAGGCTATTTGAGGCCAGATTAAAAAAAAATGTATTCATATTATGCTTAGAAGTTAAGACTCTTCTGGGGAAAATGGAGAGTCATGAGAAGCAGAAGGCTGGCAAGATCCGATCTGCCTTTGCGACCAGCCCTTTATGAAAAGCACAGTTTGCAAAGATATGCGAACACCGCAGATTACATTGATCACTAATTAGCTATATTTATGTCTAAATGAGGAATGCAATGACTTCAGATGGACAGTAACTGCATTAAACAGCCTGACTGGCATGATGTCATGAAGTGGCAGCAACAGTAAGAACTGAACTGAAGACAGCTCCTCAGCATGGATGCAAAAAGGAACAGAGGGAAATCATCTATACCAAACAAGCAACGATCTGTTAATTTCACTACAAAAACTACAGCATTAAAAAGACAAAAATCTTGCCACAGAATACATTTATTTTCATATTTAGAATTACTAACTTGTTGAGATTAAACCAATACAGATAAATAAAAGCCAGACTATGCAACAACAATCTGCCCCCCTACTGTGGGGAATGTGGGTGAAGGAGAAAGAATAGGGAAATATAATCCACAAAATATTCAGGGCAAAAATATTTTGGTTATTACAACAACCACAGTTTGAGAACTATAAACATTAAATGTAAATTAGTGGTAAATCTTGTGGTGTTCTTAAAGTCGATGATATTTTAAAACTCTTCTCTGCCAAGGTGTTTTATAAACAAGTTGGTGGACTGATCTCTAAGAAAACCCCTGTAATGTATCTTTTAAAAGCGAAGGATATCATTTTAAAAAAAAGAACAAATTATTTGAGAAAGAAAATATTGATTGATTCCATAAAAACCTAACTGAACAGTATAATCAGATGTGTTAGTCAAATATCCATTTGTGCAAGACCAGACACAGCAGTGCAGAGAGGCCTGCACACATGCATTGCCACTGGTAGGCACAAATGTTTAGTTTGCAGGGCCGGTGTGTATCGTTACCCTCAAAAATGGTTCTCTAGTTTACTAAAATTGAAAC